AAGAAATAAATAAAACAGTTGCATAGTGTTCCAGAAAAAAAAAGCCGAACTAATTGAAATGGCAAGGGGAATGGTGGCTACCAGGGGCTATGGGATGGAGTAGATGGATAGATGTTAGTCAAAGGGCACAAACTTCCAGTTTTAAGAAATAAATTCTATAAAGCTAATGGAATAGCATGGTGATTACAGTTAATACTACTGTAGTATAATACAATTATTATATACTTAAAAGTTGCTATGATAGTAGATCTTAAATGTTCTTACCAAAATAGATATGGTAATGATATGATGGGATGAAGTATTAACTAACTTCATAGTGGGAATCATCTTGCAATATATAAATATATCAAATTAACATGTTGTTCACCTTAAACTCACACAATGATATATATATCAATTATACCTTAATAAAGCTGAAAAAAAAGCAAAAACCTCAGATATACTTCCATTCCCTTTCTATTCTTGTATGATTTTAGGTTTCGTATCTTTTTTTTTCAGCTTTATTGAAACATAATCTTTGTGGTGAAAGCATTGAAATTCTACTCCTTTAGCAAATATATATATATATATATATATTTGCTATATAACACTATATAATATAGTGTTATCATATTCATTTTACTAAAAGTTTATATCCTTTTACCAACCTCTCCCTGTTTCCTCCACTCCCCAACCCTTGACAATCAATCTTCTGTATCCATGAGTTTGATTTTCTTTTCCAGATTCTATTTGTTGTTCTCTGTTTAGCTTATTTCACTTAGCGTAATGCTCTCAAGGTCCATCATGTGGTGGCAAATGGCAGGATTTCTTTCTTTCTCATGTCAAGAGTAATATTTCTGTGTGTATGTATGTGGCTTATTCGTTAAAGTGTTTTCTTTTTAAAATGCATGGATATATAATTACTCAGGTGTAGAGGTGATTAATCATATCAAAAGGGTACACTAGAGTAAGTTTATTTCATTCTAATAGAATGAATGGATCCATGAATGAAGTACCATATATGTCCATATGTATATTTTTCATATTTGTTTATTATACGTGATATTCAAACATTAGATATCAATATTTTTTTCTTTTTGTCACTTATACTTATCTGAATTCTTACCCAATGCAATACAATCAGATTTTTAAATTTAGATTCAGAAAGCAAATAAAATAAAAATGAATTACAATATAGGCAAAAAGTCAACGTATGATATTTTTTAAAGTCTCAGTTCTCTCCATCCCTAAATTTACTGAGATTTTTAAGTGAACAGTAGTGTTATTATTCTTTTTAGCCAACCAACCTTGTATTTAATATATTAAAATATAAAATGCAATATATATTTAGGATTATTTGTAAGATTGATCTGAACTGGATAGAGAAGAGTGGAAAACATGACAACTGCCTGTCTAAAGTATCTTGTGTGGTTTCAACCAGACTGGCCTAAATATACATTCATTTATATGAGGTTATAACCCCAGTGATGAGAGTCATATCTATTTTTGTTTATATACAATATCTATTTTTACTCACTACAAATATTGAGCCGTGGGAGACCAATAAATGGTAAATGGTAGATTGTTGGTGGCTACCCAATTTTATTTATTTAAATAGAACTTGTATTTACTTGAAAAAAAAGTTGGTGGAGGGGGGATGGTACCAAAAAAGCTTAAGCCAAACTGTCAATATCTAGATCTATAGATTTTATTATGTGGTTTATATCTTCAATAGCCATTTGTTATAGGCTGTTATTTAAATCTACCTTTAACAGGTATCTGTTATTTCCAGTATTGCTCCTTTTCTTATTCCTCTGGTTGTCTAGACTAGGTTCTATGTACCTACATCTTCCTTCAGTACATATCCAATTCTCACGAAAATTTTCATTATGGACTATTAATTACAATTGTTTTATGAGAGTGGCTTTTCCTAATTTATTTCCAGATTATGATTTACATAAGCCAGATGCTATTAAAAGGTTTGTTTTACATAATTTAATTAAATAGGAATAATTTTAGTTTTGAAAAACTATTAGAAATATATCCAGCTGCTTTCACATTTCCTCTGTGGTTTCTTACCAAAGTTAGTCTCATACAACTGTAAGTAGCTGACCCACTTAGGCTAGGTCTGGACTTTTCACCAACTCTAGGAGGATAGTAGCAGAACAAATCTTTTCAGTCACCTGCCAACATCTTTGTGGGCTCTTCTTCACCATTGAGGAAAGAAATCATCTAGAAGGCTTCATAATGTCCAATGCTGAAAACTCTGAGCAGCCTCCAGGTATTTTTTTTAATTCAAAATCCTATATCATTTTAATGAAAATAAAATTTTAATTCTTTGTCTATCGTAACTGCTGGTTATGATTATAACAGAGACATAAAGGCCTTTAATTTCTTTAATATTTTTCAGATATACTGATAAGATACTTTGAAATAAAATTAACAGAAATAATAATCTGTTTCCTGGCTCAACCCAAAGTGTAATCAATCATTTAAATAGTTTTAGCTGAGTGGGCTGTTGGATGGAAATGTGATTTGAATGTCTTTGATTTCACTACTACTATAATATTGTTTTTCTAGCAATTTTTGAAAATAGTAATGAATCTTTTAAATTAAGTTCTAATATCATTTGCTTTACAAGATTATAAATTAATTGTGCATTTTCTTTATGCTAAAAGAAATCACAGAGGAGACAGAGACAATTCCTATTGTAGACTTGGAACCACCACTTGGCCTTCCTCCTCCCCTTCCTTCACCTCCTCCTTCTCCTCCTCCTCCTCCTCCTCCAGAAGGTGAATGGAGAACAATCTCTGAACCCACTAGGATGAATGGTACAGTATATATACACCAGATTTTATGCATTTATGTTCTCTCTTTGTTATCTTAAGGTACTTTACCTGATTTTACTTTTCTCTAGCTGTTACTATTTGGGAATTTTACAATTTAGAGAAAATATAGAGATTAAAAAAATTTCAAAATGTATATAGAAGTAAAACAAAAACACATTGTCTAACAAAGACATACACTAAAGAAAATACTCAAAGGTAAAAGAAGCCATTTGTCCAAATTTAGACATGTTTCCCGACATGAAATTGAGAGACTTAAACATGATCAAAATTCAAAATTTAAAATATGATCATGATTTAAACCTGCACTCCGATGTTTATAGCAGCAATGTCCACAATAGCCAAACTGTGGAAGGAGCCTCAGTGTCCACCGAAAGATGAATGGATAAAGAAGATGTGGTATATGCATACAATGGAATATTACTCAGCCATTAAATTTCAGCAAACTTGTAAAAAAAAAAACAAGAAAGGTAGAACCCAACTGTATGATTTCCTCCTTTTGGTCATAATGAAACATTTAGTAGAGCAGGATTTCTCAACATCAGCACCACTGACATTTTGGGCTAGATAACTGTTGTGGGGGATGGTCCAATGACTTTAGGACATTTAGCAGCATCTGTGGCTTCTACTCACTAGACACCAGTAGCACTTACCCCTCCACTATGACACCAAGAATGTCTCTACACACTTACAAATGCCCCTTGGGGACAAAATTGCCTCTGGTTGATAACCACCATTACATTATTCAGAAAGTTGAGGAAATTATTTGGACATTACTTATTAATATTATAGCCATTCTATATGATGGCGACATTTCACCTTATTTCGGAAGTGTAATTCTTCAGAAGTATAAATACTTTTTTTTTACACTAGAGTCTATAAGTTTATTTCAGAAGGAAATCAAGGAAAGGCTATAAACAATGATGACTGAAAGTTTGTTTTCTAGAATGACAATGTAACATATTATTGTAGTGAAACTGAAGAAATTATAGATGATGTTTGTCCTGAAACCAATTATCACCCAGTTAAATATTCCATAATATTTATAGTAATTCTTTAGTGGAAGGATATACCACTAATCAGCAAGTTCAAATAAAGAATTCTATCTTAACAATAACAGAGGTTTAAAATAAATAGGGATGCCTGGGTGGCTCAGCGGTTTAGCACCTGCCTTTGGCCCAGGGCGTGATCCTGGAGACCCGGAATTGAGTCCCGCATCAGGATCCCTGCACGGAGCCTGCTTCTCCCTCTGCCTGTGTCTCTGCCTCTCTCTCTCTCTCTCTCTCTCTCTCTCTCTCTCTGTCTCTCATGAATGAATAAATAAAATCTTAAAAATAAAATAAAATAATTAAATACTTCCCCATCTGATTATATTAGTGAGGATAAGATAATCTGAACTGAAATATTATAGTTGGCATTTAAGGATATTTAATACCTGTATGTAAAATTTTCATCTGTGGTGGAAATCCCCAAGACCATGCTCAGGTTTGATGATTGGCTAGGAGAATTCATGTGGGTACATGTACTTACAGCTAAGGTTTATGACAATGCAAGGATACCAAACACAGGCAGCACAGGGAAAAAGTACAGGGAGTGAAGAATAGTGGAGAGGAGGCTCAAGCTTCCAAGTGTCTTTTCCCAGTACAGTCACATGGGTCACACAAATTCCTTCAGTAAGTTGTGACAATGTGCCCTCCCAGGAAACTCATTAGAGAATTGGTGTTTAGGATCTTTATTGGAGCTGATTATAGAGGCAATCTGTGGCTGGCATGTAACAAAATTCCAGACAGAATTCCAGAAGGAAAATAGGTCTTCATCATATATTATGTGGTGTGCACAAACAGTTCAGGAATAATCACCCACTCTTATCAATAACTGTGGTGGGAATCCTCCTGATATATAGGTTTCCAGATGCCAGCCAAGGCCAACCTGACAAGCAGACCTTTCAAATAATGGTAATCAGGTCTGCTATGCTAACCATTTCTGCACATCCTGTTAAGTAGGGTTTTTTTTTTTCTTCTCAGTCAGCCTAAAAGTTCACAGTAATTCACACGTTGGATAATATCAGAAAATTTGAGACATTTTAGAGCAATAACAACTGGAAAATAATGGTATTACTCTTTCAAATGACAGAAGCTCACAGTATCTCTAATTATCCCTCACTCTGTTTCTCAGCTTCTTCTTTTCCTTTTCTCTGTAAGGAATCACTCCTGTGATCCTGGGAATCTTCAGCCTGCTGCTCTTGATATTTTGTGGATTCTTTGGTTATCAATGTAAGTCTGATTAATTAGGGGAAATTTTTTCTCATATTTCTTTAAACCATTATCAGATAATAGTTTTAGGTAAACATTTGGTTACCACAGTGAAAAAAGAACAGGCAAAAAATGACACGAAATTATCACAACTTTTTACTACATGAATGAATTTAATCTTGTGAACTCTCAATAACTGCAATATTTTTCCAGGAAGGCAATTTTATTGTAATTACTGTAGAGATATTGATAGTAATGATTATTATTATTTGAAAATTATAATTTCCTAAGAAATAAGCTCAATGAATTTACAACAGTACTTAGAAATCAGAAAATAACTTCTTTTATGATTTGTTTAAATTTTCAATGTCTCTAGCAGCCTAAATTAGATCAATAGAATGTTTTTATTATTACTAAAGTTATTTCCAACTGGTGATTTAAAAGTAAATGTTCTTCTTTGATATCACTAGTTTGATACTCAAAATTCTATAATTTTGATCCAGAGGTGAAATTCTAAACATTAAATCAACCAGTCATGATGCTAAAAGATTTATTCAAGACACTGTTGTTTTTGCTGTTTGTTTTATTGGGTTGGACCATTTTTATATTAATAGAAACATGCATTCAAATTTATAAGGAAATTATGTTGATATTTTAGATTTAAGCATAGACTTCAGAAGTAATAGTGGATAAATGAAAGAGTATTTGGCCAACTATCTTTTCACAGCTTTTGAAAACATTTATGGAGAACTTTCGTAAGGAGAAAAGTAAAAAAAAATATACTTTCTAATTGAATACACTGCTGTTTTGTAATTAAGCATGTGTTTTATATGTATCGGGAATTCTTGTTCTTAGACTTTCAAACTGTTGAGGTAACAACAACCAATATGAAGAGCCTTCACGAATGGATGGAGCTTTTCCAAAACAGAACCGAAAAATGTCTAAAGATCCAAAAAGTTCTTGCCCAAAATAAAGGTAATATGAGAGTTAGAACAAACTCTCTATACAGAATGCTAGTTTCTTTTTGCAGCCCTAAAATGGTTGGTTGCATAATGTAAATGGTTGGTTGCTCTCTGACACAGCAGCATGGTGGTTTTGATGGCTCCTTGCCTCTTCTCCCCATCATCTTCTGAAACTGAGTGAGTCAAACATTTATGAGACACAGCCTCCTACATTAACTATCTCATTCCCTCATTTATTCATTCATATTTGTTCTGTGCACACTAAATGATAGCCATTAGGCTGGTGATCAGTATGAACATCGCCTTTAGGAAGTTCAGGAGAAGGCATATAAACCAAAAAAAAAAAAAAATCAAAGTGTCCAGATGTGTAGTAGAGATATGTGCAAGATATTTAGGGAGCATGGAAATGGGAGAATTTAAATATATGAAAAATCATAGTGTTTTCATAGTTGCTAAACGCCTCCTAAGGAGAGAAGTTTAAAATACTAGAGTCATCATAAAGCTTATTTTATGCTAAATAATTATAATATAAAATAGTCTGTTTATGATAAAGAGATATTTTTTTACAAAGGCCTTGCATTACAATATTATTTCCTGTGAAGTATCAAATTTATATTGAATAATTAAATCAACCCATCTGAGAGTCCTTTAGTGATATGTTGTGTTAAAAGACAGGTTTCTTTCTTTTTCTTTTTTTTTTAAGATTTTATTTATTTATTCATGAGAGAGACAGAGGCAGAGACACAGGCAGAGAGTGAAGCAGGGTCCATGCAGGGAGGCCAACATGGCACTCGATCCCGGGTCTCCAGGATCATGCCCTGGGCCTAAGGCGGCGCTAAACCACTGAGCCACCTGGGCTGCCCTTTTTTTCTTTTTTTTTTTTTTAATTGATATATGCTTAACATATAACATTGTGTAAGTTTGGGGTGTATGACATGTTGGTTTAATGCATTTACATATTGCAATGATTACTGGGGTAGTATATCATGTCACATAATTATCATTTAAATTTTGTATGAGAGCAATTAAAATCTAGTCTCTTAGGAAGTTTGAATTTATAATACAATATTGCTGACTATGACCACGATGTGTGCATTTTAAAAGGCTGGTTTCTAAGCAATTGATTGTTTCAGCTAGAGATGAAACTAATTCAGAAGAGAAGGGAATTGAACCAAAAATATCTGTATATTTGCCACTTGATAATTTCATTATTATGACTCTTAAAATCGCAAAAAATAATCCAATGTAATGTGTATTCTCATCTATTAAGTCCTATTGTCCTATGTAGAAACCCTAGAGTGGGTCCAAAGCCAGAAGAAGTATCTCATTGAGGCTTTACAAGAACTAAAGGAGAAACAAGGTAATGTGAAAGAAATTGAGAAAATTCCGAGTTGATGATAATTATTTTTTAAAAATAATAAGTCTTAATATCAGTCATATTTATCTTAAAAGGGAAACATATGAAGCAATAGGCCTTGTTTGTGGGCTCTGAGGATCTATGGGCTCTAAGCTATAAATATCTTTTTCTTCCTAGGAGACAGGTGTGGACCTCCTCTGAATCACTGGGTTCAATACAAAGACTACTGCTACCATCAAACTATGGAAATGGTTTCTTGGTTAAACTGTTCTGATCTTTGTATCTCTTTGAATGCTACATTTTTAAAGACAGAAAGGAGTGTATTGAAGGTGAGATTGTATTTTATTCTTTGCTTCTGGGATATGAATATGTAACAGGACCACTCAAAGGAAGCCACTCTTTCACTGTGTCTGTAAGAGCAGAGAAAGGAATACTCTTTTGCTTCATTTTTCACTCATCTTTTCTTGGTGTGCTGTGCTTCAGCACACCTTTCTTTTCCCAACACACCAGGCATAACTTCCCTGTAAAAACATTGCATTTGCTGCTCCCACCGCATGCAATATTCTTCTCTCATATAGCCATGACTAACCACTTCAAGTATGCATTCATTCAGTTATCACCTTCTCAGTGAGCCTGCCCTGGGAACCCATTTTACTTTGCAACGTGTGCATCAGTGCCCACCTTCCATCATCCGCAGTTGCCCTCCTCTGTACTCCTAGTCCTTCTGGCCCTGCTCTAATTTTTTTTCTTTTCCTTTCTATTTTTTCCTTTCCTTTCCTTTCCTTTCCTTTCCTTCCTTTCCTTTCCTTTCCTTTCCTTTCCTTTCCTTCCTCTCTTTTTCATTATTTTATTATTTTATTTTATTTTATTTATTTATTTTTTATTTATGATAGTCACATAGAGAGAGAGAGAGGCGCAGAGACACAGGCAGAGGGAGAAGCAGGCTCCATGCACCGGGAGCCCGACGTGGGATTCGATCCCGGGTCTCCAGGATCGCGCCCTGGGCCAAAGGCAGGCGCCAAACCGCTGCGCCACCCAGGGATCCCTATTTTATTATTTTAATTGCAGTATGGTTAACATACAGTGTTATAGTAGTTTCGAGAATACAACATAGTGATTCAACAATTCTATATGCTATTCAGTGCTTATCATGATGTGTACTCTTTTTTTTAAAAAAAAATTAACTCATTCTATTTAATTCCAAGATAATGAAATTATTCTTTATTTTTTGTTAAGTGTACTCTAATCCCCATAACCTAATTCACCCATCCCTCCCCTCCTCTCTGGTAACCATCACTTTGTTCTCTCTAGTCAAGAGTCTGGTTTTGATTTATCTCTTTTTTTCTTTGTTCTTTTGTTTTGTTTCTTAAATTCCACATATATGTGAAATCATATGGTATTTGTCTTTCTCTGACTAGCTTATTTTGAATGGCATTATACCCTTTAGATCCACCCATGTTGCAAATGTCAAGACTTTCTTCTTTTTAAGGCTGGGTAATATTCCATCATATATGTATATATGTATATACATACATACATACAACATCTTCTTTATTTATTCATCTCTTGATGAATCCTTGAGCTGTTTCCATTTCTTGGCTGTTGTTCATAATGCTGCAATAAAAATAGGGATACATATATCTTTTCAAATTAATGTTTAGTATTCTTTGGGTAAATATCCCTTAGTGCAGTTACTGGATGATTGGGTAGCTCTTTTAACATTTTGCGGAACCTCCATACTATGTTCCACATTGGCTGTGCCAGTTGCATTCCCACCAACAGTGCATGAGGATTCCTTTTCCTTTTTTTCCACATCCTGGCCAACAAGTGTTGTTTCTTTGTTGTTGACATTAGCCATTATGACAGGTGTGAGATGATATCTCATTGTGGTTCATTGCTTTAATTTCTTTTATAGGATTTGCCATCTTCTTACATATCATTTGTATATATGATGTTTACTTCTATCTGGACTCAATACCCCCAAGCTGGGATTTTCCTCCTTTTTGTTCAATTGTATAGTTTGATCTAGAAGACTAAGCACAGCATTGAATAAGTGATAAAATGAGTTAAGAAAGGTAATTCATTTTTAGTGTGCAGTGTCCTCCTGAATATGCAATTTTATGTTGGCTATCTTTTCTTTTTTTCTTTGTAATTAATTCCTAATTTGAGAAAAGCACAGATGCTACAGAACTGAATTTTTTTTATATTTCCTTTATCAGTGGACATATATATACTGCAGTATTTTTATTTTTGTTTCTTTTACTTCTCACCTGACACAAATTCCATATTTTTCATCTCTAATGTGCTTTTAGTATTAATACTTTTGTACTTGTTGGTTCCATGCAGACTATCATGAAATTAATTGCAGTAAATCGTACTTGGCTTGGCCTGTCTTACAAGGAGGAGGACAATGAATGGAAGTGGGAGGATGGCTCCTCTCCTTCTCCTCGGCTGTAAGTTTCCAATATATAACCCAATTCCTAATTCCTTTTTTAATGTCTTTTGCTTAAAGAACTTGAGGAAATAGAGATTACCAGGGACAGAATTGAGACGTCATTTAGATATTTCATAATTAGTGTAACTATGCCTCTATGATTAGATGATCTGATTAATTACAATTTTGGATAAGGAATGTAATGTGGAGAAGAATATTATTATATATAAAGTTTGGGACATCTCTGTTGTTCTTAGGGGAAGAAGTATAAAGAAGTATAAAATTGTCACTCCTTGGCCAAGGAATTTGGGTCTTTTTTATGGTTTCAAGCACATATTGGTTAATTGTGATCCAGAAACACTGCATTAGACAACTATGGCAAATATATATATATATATATATATATATATATAAATCTGTTTCATCACTATGTGACAAACTTAGATTTTGTTTATTTTGATAATTTTGATAGTGGATTATTTTTATTTTGTCCTTTTAGGTTATGTTTGTCTAATGTTTAGTGAGACTATTTTTCCTATAACCATTAATAATACTTTTGACCTTTTTATCCTATTTATTTTTAATTTTTTTGGAATGGTTTCTTATATATTAAGTTTCTAAGACATGAATATTTTTCTGGACTTGCCTATACTGTTGTGTCATATTATTTGTCTATGCTTATGTTCATGGATGATAATTTTATTTATTACTTTTTTGGGTTTTAAATATGAATTTTATTCTTCTTCCTTTGCCAAATGAAATATCATATTTGCTTTGAAATAATATTCTTTCACTTTAAATTATTCAGAAACACAAGATATATCTTTGGCATATTTTCATTATAAGTGTCCAAATAAGTTTGTCTTGTAGGAAATATAATTTTCAAATTAATAGTTATAAAGGATAAAGGGGTTTAATATTACCATCTCAAAATTGTTTTAAATATGCTGGGTTTTTTTAATGAAGACTTTGATATTATTATATCAGGTTTCTTATGTGATCATGATCTCTTTATATAGGTTAATCACATTCCCACAATCACAATAAATTTCATCAATCGTCTAGAAAAGGAGGAATGTTATAAATACTATGACAATAAAAATATTTCTTAATTTTAGTAACCAGACTCAAGATGACATTGTATAATGTGGTTGATCATTTTTGTTATTAGAATTTTGTGACTTGAATGTTTTCTTCTACTTCAACCCCTGTACAATGTTTGATACACAGAATACTCAATAGGTATGTTGAATTAATGAATGGAAGAATGCATAAAATATCTTGGAAATTTATTTTCCTACCCAGTTCAAAATTCTCTTTTTCCTAATCTCTTTGTCATTTTGAAAAGGAATGTATTATGCATTTAATAATTGAGTAGATAAACTTTACCTTTTCCCAGAAGTACTAGATAATCAATTTTGCTGTGGAGTTGATGAAAGGTAGTTTTATTGACAATGGCCTAAAAAACTCTAGATCTCTAGTCAAGGACTAAATTCAATCAGAGTATTTGATAACATCTGCTGTATGGCATATATGTCAGTAGTGATTTTGTAGATTGAAGAACACATCAGATCAGAGGAAAGAGTTCTGACATATTACACACACATATGTACATATATATACATTTTAAATTTCATTGCTAATATTGGCTATCTGATATAATGTATTTACAAGAAAAATACTCCATCTGCAGCTGTACGTGCATAGTTGAATGGTTTCTATTATGCCAATTTATACTTAAAACATAATTTTACATCTCAGGTCATATGTCCTTTCATGCTATTGCCATAATTTTCTAGCCAGAGCATTCTCTTTCTCACTAGGCTGGTGTATATTTTCCCACTTGTAAATAATTATCATATTTTGTGAAACTTATTTATGGGTTCTATACTCATCTCTTCTATCAATGCATGAGTTCTTTATTCAAAAGAGGGAGAGTGTCTTTACTGCCTTGTTAGCACTAGGCATAATGAATTTCACACAGTAGTTTTTAAATAACACTAGTTTGAACATAGTGAGTTTGACCAGTGACTTGTGTTTTCTACATTTCCCCAGGGGTTTGCCAGAGCGAAATCTGGATTTCCAAGGGAATTGTGTGTATGTAAATTCATACACTGTTGGTACTGATAACTGCACTAAGTCCTCTTCATGTTTGTGTGAGAAGGCTGCCCACTAAAAATCAGACGAAGAATGTTAAGAGAAAAGCTATGAAGCTCACATCTCAGACTCAAGATCTGCTGGTCTTTATTCTATTGTTTTTTTTTTCATATTATTTGTAACTTTTTTTTTCATGGCAAAAACTGATCATGACTTTATGATAGAAGAAGGCAACGTCTAAAGTTGTAGCAGGAATACCACAGTAACCCAGAAAAGTTAGAAATTCAGAACCTGTTTGATTTTGTGAGAGTTATATAAATGAACTAATAAACATGCCATTTATTGTGACCACTTAGTCTTTTTGGATCTGTTTTATATTTCAAAGTCTGTTTATTCATTTATAGTTATGATCCTATGGAAACAAACCTTCAGAAGAAATATAATGGGAAATAGAAGCAATAAACGATTTAACACATACAAAGGATATAAAAAATACAGAATATCACAGCAACAAAAAGCATAACATTAAAAAAATAAAACAAATTTCTGAAGTCATCTATTTTCAAAATTGCTTGCAGAAGTCTTCCTAGCATATTTTAAATATATGTTTCATTTATATCTTCAATTCCTTACTTCCCCTTTTAGTTAGTGGAAAAAATATATTTCCTGTCAAAGGCTACTTTTAAATAGACTTGGATCAACTCTCAATTATCTCCCCACACTGTTTCAAGCTTTATGTCATTAATTTTTCCATCACATACATGCAACCACTTCCATTTAAAGTACATTACTTCCAAGAACATACCCATGCATCTGTACCCATCCGGTTCTACGCATATCCCCTTCAATTTGCCTCTTGTGTAGGCTTCTTTTCAAAGTAAATGCACTCAAAGGAAAAATCCACCCAGATTATATACTTTCTCACTTTCCGATAATTACCCAGAACATCGTTATTTGTCTTTTCTTTTTCTCCTCTTTATTGAGACTGCTTTTGTTTAAAATGCTAATGGTCTATTTGTTAGTCATTCATTCATTTCAAATTTTTTTATATGTCTTTCTGGTTTAGGCAGTGTGCTTAATTCACAAATACAATTTATTTCAATGCTCATACTATTACTTACAGAATTTTGCTGGATTCCTTATTTCATTCTTTTTTTTTTTATAAATTGATTTTTATTGGTGTTCAATTTACCAACATACAGAATAACACCCAGTGCTCATCCCGTCAAGTATTTCATTCTTCTTGACACTTTGTCATCATCATCATCTTTGGATATAGTATTATTTTACTTTGAACAGTTCTGCCCCTTCTTGGTTTTCTTCCTTCCACTCTGGTCCTATACTTTTAGTTTCCTTAATAGGTCTTTCTCTAATTGCTCCCTAATGTTTTTTAACTTGAAGTTTTCATTAGGGAACATTCATTTCTTTAGGATGATGTTTGATTTATTGACAGGTGTGGTAAAGAAACCTTTGCCGTAAGAAATTTCAGGCCTGGACTCAAATATTTTCTATTACAATACTTATATATTTGCCATCTGGCACATTATTTATCTATGAGTCTCAATTTCCTAGGTCACAAGATTGGGATGATAATAGCTGTACCTCCTAGCTATTTGAGGATTAAAGAGCATCATTGTTTGAAGCATTTAGAAGAATGATTAGATTAGAGGAAGTGTTTAGGGTTAGCTATTGTTTAAGATGAGAAGAAAATTTTTATGCTCCTTGTAAACTGTGGAACATAATATGACTTAAAAGTTTTCTTGTTAGAAATTTTGGTGATTAAAAAAAAAAGAAATTTTGGTGATTAAATACCCTTCATACATATGAGACTAATCTTTTTACCTCCTTAATTTAAATTTTCTTTCATTCCTTCCTATTCCCTTTCTTTTTCATTCAATAGTCTGCACAGGTGTTTCTTTTTTTTTTTCCTATCTTCTTTTCCTTTTACCTGTTCTACAAGTCATGTTGACTTTATTAATTACAGGTAACAGAATTCAATCTAGCTTTGGAAATATACTTGGTTACTATGTATAATTGAGGAAAAAAAATTTGAGTGAACAAACCAAAGGAAAGGTAGCAAAACAGCTTGGCCAGGGGAAAATGAGCTAGGAATCTTAAGTCTACCAGCCACCTGTGCTGATTTTCTCTGCCTTTCTCTTTCCATGTGGGTTTTATTTATTTATTTTTTCATGAAGACACATTCCTTTCTTGTAATTGAAAACATAGACAATAACTACTTTCAGACATTCATGTTATATCTTTTCTTATGAGAGAGTTTCCTATTTAATTTTACTAGAAAAAAATATTTACCATGTTAAGGGAGGGCTAAGCCATCAAAATATGGCCACCTCAGCTATAGGCAGATGTATGGAAGGGGGAGAAGTTCTCAGAAAAAAGCCTATAGTCTGACTAACAATAGCATGAATTTCCCTACAATCATACACTGATTTTTCCTGTGTAAATAAAAGTTCCTACAAATCAAATATATTCCTCAGGAAAGTCTAGAGATTTTAAGAAAAATAAAATAAAATAATAGCAAGCATATATTTAAATTTTACTCTGTGTCAAGTGCCATTACAAGTGATTTATATATGTAAATCAAATTTATCCTCAAATAAAGTAGATTGCAATATTTTATAGAAGAAAGAAGTGGCTAATTTAAACTTTCTAAGGTTATAGAACTTGTTAGTGGCAGAGCTGGAATTTGAACTCTGATATCTTAGTGTAAAAGTCTGTGCCATGAAACACGCTAGCATATACATCTTCTCATATATCTATTCAAAGAGGCGTCTAACATAAACATACTATACCACTTAATAGCAGATAAGATTATATTAGAAATGTGGGAAAATAGTGAATAAAAAATTTAATGACTCCATATTAAATACAAAATAGTGGGGAATTCAGAAGACTTTACAGGCTTTTCAGTTTTGCAGTAGAATTGGAGTGACAGTTAAAGAGCATGTTCTTTGGAGAGTATATGTGAGAGACACAACTCAGATTTAAGGGTGAATCGGAAGAGGTATCTTAGTAGATTTCTAGAACTATATCTTGGTATGTAGCAGAAGTCTCAAATTGCTTTTTGAATATGTTGTAAGTCAGTTTTCAAGGGAAACAGTATCTGAGACAGGTTATTGTATCAAAAATGCTCTTGTGACCAGCACTTTGTGGGAAAGGACAGTATTGGACAGAATGAACTGCAATGAACTGATAACCAACTTAGAGCTTCAGCCAACTGAATGGGAATCTCTGAAGCTGGGAAGGTCCCAAATTGAAGTGAGGGCCAGGTCGTTATCTCTCTCGTATCACTCAGACATGGATGTAGGTGTCCAGTAGGAAAGTGAAACAGATGACTTTAGCTGATGGCAAAACCTCTGGGCTGAGATCTCAGAGGTGTCATGCCTCAGTGTCCCTGGCATCTGTGGAAATTACTATTCTGAAGGGGGAAACAGGGCACAGCACGGCATTCACTATGGAACAAAGAACTCATACCTAAAGGACTGAGTCAGAATTAGTCAAAAGTCAATGTTATGCGTAAGAAGTTTTCTATAGAGAAAATAGCACAGAGAAAGGTTTACTTAGTGACCACTCGACCTCTAATTGAAAGGAGATGGAATAAAAAGGAGCTCTTTTTTTTTTTTACCCATTTGAATCAGGTATTTGGAATCATGGATTAAATCCAGTGATATCATTGGATATTTGGTTAGCTGATGGCTCCACTCAGTGGAGAACACAGAAGAAAGAAAAGACTTCTGGAAGTCCAGAATGGTAAGTTTCAGTTGCAATAAATTTGGTATATCTGTGAAATATCCAGCTGATTACATGCTCCTCAAAACAGAACCCTGTTGTTTTAATGAGAATAGAAACCCTCCTGCTTTATAAACTTCTCTTTTTAACTCATATATATACACAATCAACAATGGAACAAGTGTAGCTAAAACAAAAATTCTCAATTAGTTCTGCATTTAAACTCCATTTTTAGAAATAAAAATAGTTTTTAAAAAATATTTCCAAATGAAATAGAGGCAAATGAGAAATAAAGCACTTTTGAAAAGTCCTCTCATGCAAATTCAGAATCACCTTGTCCTTAACGGCTCTCAGCCTGTGAATGGACCACAGCAAAAGTAAATAAACACATGCGTAACCTATAGAGTGGAAGTAAGAGAATACATGATGGTGCAGTTCTTCCTATGCCCTGGCAGGTAGTCTCACTGTTCCAGAAATGTCTGCAGAAAATATAGAAGAAAGTTGGGGGCTTGTGAGGGACTTACACAGACTCACACATTGTTAGCAGTAAATCAAAAGACATTTTCTCTTCCACATTTCATTTCTCCAGTGCCAGCAAGAGTTATATCAAACTTTTTGGTAAAGAAAATTGCAATCTAGAGACGTCTGGGTGGTGCAGTCAGTTGAGCGTGTGACTCTTGGTTTCAGCTCAGGTTATGATTCAGGGTCATGTGATTGACCCTGTGTTGGGCTCTACACTCAGTGCAGACTCTGCTTGGGATTCTCTCTGCCTCTCCTTCTGCCCCCTCCCCCCTCTAAAATAAATAAATAAATAAATAAATCTTTAAAGAAAGAGAAAACTGTAATCAATTCCTTTTACCACAGTAAAAGAACTACATTCAACAATGCTTTACTAAAGACAGGAAACAGCAACAAGTGGAAGAGAGCAGGCTCGAACATTATGTGGGCATAGAAACATCTCCTTTGACTGTATTTACATAGTTTGCACGTTTGGAAAGGAGTGAAAAACAACCATGTTTTCATCGGTTGGACACTAATATAAAAGCCACAATAACTACACTCTATCCCTTTCATTTCTCTGTGACAAGATGTCAAGTTCATACCCAGCTGTGTTTGCAAGTAGCATAGCTATTTTGCTGACATGGTGTGGAGGTATAATACAATTTATATGCAACACAAAAATACAAAGTCAGCAAAATATAACTGCCAGTCATCTTTTATTAATAAAGATTATTAAAGTAGGATCATGCTGGAGAAGGAGATCTAGAACCATATCTGAGCAGCAATATTGAAATGATGCATAGGGGTAAATGGAACCACAGGAGGATGTAT